TGTTATGCAGAGCGTGGCTGACTATAATGTAAGCTACTGACTGACTCGGATGGAGCCACAGTGCCGGCCCGGCATTACTGAGTATTAACTTCTGCCCGGCTATGAAGTTTGAGTAATTTTTTAAAAATTACAAGTAAGTGTTGCCCCCAGCAAACGGTGTGCAGAATGGTGGGGTCTGTGGGCACCAGATCTCCAGGGCGGCAGGGCTGTAGGTCTCAGGCCTGCCAGTCAGGGAGCCCAGAGCACCGACACCCAGGGTGGGCCCTAAACCCGAGTCATCAGCTCACATTCTATGATGTAATAGTATATACAGCGGGGCCAGAGCTGTGGCATAGCGGGTAAAGCCGCCACCTGCAGTGCCGGCATCCCATATGGGCGCCAGTTCGAGTCCTGGCTGCTCCACTTCTGATCCAACTCTCTGCTATGGCTGGGAAAGCAGTGGAAGATGGCCCAGGTCCTTGGGCCCCTACACCCGCATGGGAGACCCAGAAGAAGCTCCTGGCTCCTGGCTTCAGACTGGCACAGCCCAGGCCATTGGTCACTCCCACTTGGGGAGTGACCCAGCGGATGGAAGACCTCTCTCTCTCTGAATCTCCCGCTCTCTGAAATTCTTTCAAATAAATAAATATTTGAAAGTCAGAGTTACACAGAGAAGAAGAGGCAGAGAGAGAGAGGTCTTTCATCCACCGGCCCACTCCCCAACTGGCCACAACAGCCGGAGCTGCACCGATCCGAAGCCAGGAGCCAGGAGCTTCTGGGAAAGCAGTGGGTGATGGACCAAGTATCTGGGCCCCTGCCATCCACATGGGAGACCCGGATGGTGTTACAGATTCTTGGCTTTGGCTTGGCCCAGCCCTGGCCATTGTGGAGTAAACCAGTGGACAGATCTCTCTCTCCTCTCTGTCTCTCCCTCTATCTTTGCCTTTCAAATAAATGAAAATAATTCTTAACAAAAATAAACCATATCCATTCACTAGCGAAGTGAATGCAAATTGAAACTGGAGAAACAGCATTTTCTACCGGTCAGTGCGACCGAAGTCAGAGAGCTCTTCAGTTGGTTCCACGGCTGCCGCCAGGCTGAGACCAAGGGAAGAGCTGACCTACACGATGAACTGCAGCAAGTGCGAAGGACCACACCTCGCCAAGGGCGCCTGGACGCTCGGCCCAGGCTGAGCCGCACACCCATGCAGCCCGAGACGGCACCGGGGCCACCCCTCTGGCTGCCGTGGGACCGTTCCAAACACTGTAAGCTAAAAAAAAACAAACCAGGGAGACCCGAGAACCTGATGCTGAAGACGGGAGGGGATGGCTGGGACGAGACCCCAGGCTGTCCACCCTTTAGTATGGCTAGACTTTGAACCACGCGACCATATTATCCAGAGAAACAAAATTATCATCTCATACACACTAAGCCTGAGGTTCCTGACCGGGCTCCAGTTAACAAGCTACTCAGCTCCCTCCCGCCTGCCTCCCTGCCTGCGGAACAAAACCTCGGGATGTTCCTGTGAGAGCCAGCGGCTGGGTGACCTGGGGTCTCTGGCCCCTCTGCCAGCCTGGTGGCCGCACCGGTCCCAGCCTGCACTTCCCTGCTCCGCCCGCAGGTGGCACTGCGCGGCCGGTTGTCCTAACAGAACCTTGGGCCCTCAAGCTGCTGACCACAGACAGAGGAACAGGCGGGCACAGGGCGGTAGCATAAAATAGAAACTAACTTTATTTCTCTGGAAGAAGCAGGTATTGATAGCTGGGGCAGCAGCCGTGGTGACAGGCTGGTGGGACGACACAGAACAGCACGGGGGAAGAGCTGGGGTCAGGGAGGGAGCAGTAGCTCCTCCAGGGCAGCTGCCCCCTTGGTCTCCTCCCAACCCTGGGGCCGCGGGCCCTGGTCCCTGCCAGAGAACGGTCTGGCACCTCTGCTCTGCTTCCTGAGCCGCCTCGGGCTATTTCCAGGCACAAGGTCCCAAGACCAGCCAAGTCCCACAGTGCATCGGCTGCGAGGCCACAGGTCACATTCTCTCCGACACCCCAGCCGTCTGCCAGCGACTCCCTGGGAAAGGGCCCAGCCCTCGGGGTGGGGGTGAGGGGGCTGCCAGGGGCCAGCCCACCCTTCTGTGTGGTCACCCCATCCTCCCGGGCCAGGTCAAGCCTGGCCTCCTGTGTCCGGGCCCCCTGGGGCAGGGCCGGGGGGGCCCGCGCCAGCCCCAAGTCCAGTCAAGGACCAGAGCCAGCAGCAGGCCACGCATTGGCCCTCCTGAGGCAGCTCCTTCCGCTGAGGGGCCCCCAAGGGCTCCTTCCCACCTCTCGGCTGGGGCACGGCGGGCTGAGCCGAGTGTGCAGGGACGGCGCTGGGCAGGGAGGGATGAGCACAAGGGGCACCCAGCCTCTGCTGCGGGGCCGCGCTCTGTCCGCTGGGAGCAGCAGGTCCTCGGGCCCGGCTCAGGGCGACGGACGGACAGACGGACGGGCTTAAGTGATTCCTTCAGGACACGCCCTCTGGCTCCACAGATGACTCTCAGCGCCTAGAGGACAAGAAATGGCCCAACAGTCCTTGTATCAGGGGGCCAGTCAGGCGGACCACAGGCAGGTGTCGGCTCCTGGTGCCGGGCACACTGGCTGCAGAGCGGCAGTGCTGGGCACTGGGTCTGCGGCTCTGCCGGCCCGGAGTGTCTCCTGTCTTTACTCTAACAAATGATGAACCACAGGCAAGAGGAGCGCGCCACTGTGTGTGAGCCGTAGGGTAGCCACGGACACGGGTATAGCAAAACCTAAGTGTGCCTGGATGCGAACCAGTGAGAGGAACCGTGGGAGGGCGCCGAGCCTCCAGGCCGGTGTGCTGTGGACCGCGCGGCAGCCACGTCTCCTGTCCCCAGACAGGGACCTGCGTGTGCTGCTGGTGAGCAGGAGGCCAGCTGGGCTCCCTCCCCTGCCGTGCCTCCCAGGGTGACCCCAACTTCATTTCTGTGACTTCACAACTTCTGGCTTGTTAACGTCTTACGTCACTGTACGTTATTTACATATCTATTGGTTTTGTTATATAAACTTCTTACAGGAAAGCAGTAACCAGTTATGATTTTTCTTGGTTGGGCATTCCTTTAAAAAGGCATTGAGGGGGCCGGCGCTGTGGCATAGCAGGTGAAGCCGTTGCCTGCAGTGCCGGCATCCCATATGGGCGCCGGTTCGAGTCCCAGCTGCTCCACTTCCAGTCCAGCTCTCTGCTATGGCCTGGGAAAGCAGCAGAAGATGGCCCAAATCCTTGGGCCCCTGCACCAGTGTGGGAGACTAGGAAGAAGCTCCTGGCTTTGTATCAGTGCAGCTACGGCCGCTGTGGTCATCTGGGGAGTGAACGAATAGATGGAAGACCTCTTCCTCTCTCTGCCTCTGCCTCTCTGTAAC